ATATTTGAAAACACAGAAACTCCCCTCAACTAATCCATCAAATCATCAATCCTCGGAAGCGGATACTTATTCTTTATCGTCAACTTATTCAGTTGTCGATAATCAACACACAAACGGGCCCCACCATCTTTTTTCTTCACTAACAGTACCGGGGCACCCCAAGGAGAAACACTTGGCCTCACTATCTGTTTTTCCAACAAATCCTCAATCTGTTTCTTCAGATCTACCAACTCAGCTGGAGCCATCATATAAGGAGCCACTGATACTGGTCCTGCACCGGGTACTAGACCAATGCTAAACTCAACATCACGCATAGGTGGCAATCCAGACACATCATCTGGGAACACCTCATGAAACTCACTAACAATCTTAATCCCAGTGATGGCCCTCTCTGTCTCAACACTCAAAGCAGCAAACAACATGAAGCACTCAGCTCCATCCCTCATCAACTACTCAGCCTGACTCGCTGATACTAACACCTCATCCTCCAATTGAGGAAATACCAACTCTCTCCGAGCACAATCTATAAGGATGTGATGGGCAGATAATCAATACATCCCTAAGATTATGTTGATATCTACCATGGGAAACACAATCAGGTTCACTTGGAACCTCCTACCAAACACCTCTATCGGGCATCTCATACACATCTCCGACGTCACCACATAAATTGAAGTCGGAGTAGACACAGACAAATCAACATGCAATGAAGATACTGAAAAACCCAATCTCTCCACACAATCAACAGAAATAAAAGAATGCGTGGCACCAGAGTCAAACAAAAATAAAACATTCTCACCTGCTGCCTTCCCCTTCCCCTTCACCAAGTCTGATGAAGTGGAAGACTCTGCACCTGACAATGCAAACATTCTCCCCGCGGCTATAGGTCTGGGTGGCCTCGGGGCACTCCCAGATGAAGTCGGCAATGTCTGACAATCTCTAGAGATGTGGCCTGGCCTACCACATCTGAAGCAAACATTCCCTGGATGGGAACAATCTCTAACCACATGTGCTCCTCCACATCTGTAGCACCGCACCGACTGTGCTCCACCCTGAGGAGTAGCAGGACGAGGTCCTCTACTAACAGCTCCTCTCTAAGACTATACAAGTCTGTCATAGGGTCCCCTCTGTTGGCCTTCCCTCCTAGACCCAGATGATCCCTCCTGAACTCTAGCAGCCTTACCGTTACTACCACCGCCCTCCAATCTCTCAACAGTCTTTGCCTTCTCAACCAAGGCAGGAAACTCCACTATGGACATAGGGACTATGACCCTCTTTAGCTCATGCCTCAGCCCCTCTGCAAACTTCCTACATCTCCAAGCCTCAGATATGGCCTGAGAGTAGAAACGAGCTAGATGCTCAAACCTCATAGCATACTTAGAAACAGACAAGCTCCCCTGATGAAGTCTCATGAACTCTGTCTCCTTAGCGTATCTAACGCTTTCCGGAAAATACTTCTCCAAAAAGACCCTCCTGAAGCAATCCCAATCAACAAGTACACCCCTACTCTCTAACATCTGCCTGGTGCCTCTCCACCAGTACTCAGCCTCGCCCCCCAGGATGTAAACTGCATAAGCTAACTTCCTCTCCTCAGAAGATCCCAGAATAATGAAGATCTTCTCCATCTCACTCAACCACTGATCTACCACATCAGGATCTAAATCCCCCTTGAACTGAGGAGGCTGACATCCCCTAAACTCTGCTAAATCTCTCCCATCCTGAGAGACCATCGGTCTAGCTGCCTCAGCCGCAGCTATACCTGCCTCCATCTGAGCAAAGTGAGCACTCTGTTGCTGCATCGCCATGGCCATCATCTCCATGGCCCTAGCAATCTGGTCATACTAAGGCCTCACCATACTACAAGAATTCAAACATCTTTCTTTAGTAACGTAATACCACAACAAATCACTAAAAACCAATACATATCAGAGATATGACACAACAGAAACCTAGAAGGATCACTCCCCACAGAGTATCCTAAAAGACTCGACCGACTTTGATACCATAAAAGTGTAACGACCCGCCATGGTCTCTACACTTAGTGGAATCGCACTACAACTAGCTAACTAAGAGAATATTAAACTGGATAACACATACATACAGGCATAAATATAAGGATCAAAATAACTAAGTCTCTATATACAAAATAAAGCACCATATATGTACAGTCATCCCAAAATATTCCTTAGTGCCGGTCAAGCACAGACAAAAATTGTTACCCAAAATGGTAACTCAAAACACGAGGCTGAAACTCCCCGTCTCGTAGCGGTCACCACTACTCCAAGCTATCCCTGACCTGCTCCCATACCAAGTATGATCATCACAGTCCCACTACATGGAAACAGAAGGGTAAGCTAGAGTTCAAAAATCAATCATACAAGTACAAAATAAAATCTATACTACACATGCATCCTAATCAAGTCCCAAAGGAACCTTCCATCTCAATCAATCATCCATTCATCAAACATGAAGTCAAACACTATACACTTCATCATCAGGACAATCATGCAATACATGCAACTCATGATAGATATCCATGCATATCAATCATCTAATGCGTCGTCACGCATACACCTAGGAGATCTCCCTAACAATAGAGCTGTATAAGTGGCATTCCATCCTACCAAAACCACCCCAACCGTTTTCACGCCTAATGCGCCCGCTCGGTCACAGCTAAACAGGATATAATCCTCACTCGGGTTTACTCAGATGATGTCACTTACACACTTGGAAGTCCAGATCCACCGTCAGGTATAGCACAGCTGGGTACGGGCTTACCACAACCTTGGCATGCATAACCAAGTCAATTATAGAGTTTGCCCACCGACTATCCGTAAGGATCTACGCACCTTCTCGAGTACTTGATTAAGGGAATAACTCTCGACCTCATACCTTACTCCAACACTAGCTAAGGACTTAGAGGAGACTCACCCAACCAAGTGGCCTACCTGAGCAACACTCCCAAATCCAGTGGCCTATCTGAGCACCACTTTCATATATCAGTGGCCTATCCAAGCACCACTCTCAAGAAACTTTATGTGAGCTCTTCCAGTTCGAAAATATTTTTCCTCTCCTCAAGTCCTAGGCTAGACTCATGCCATAAGGCATCACATGCAATCATGCATCATACATCATACATGGTCTACCCACCATAATGATCAACAATCATACACATGTCATAAGACATCACATGCAATAATGCATCATACGTCATACATGGTCTACCCACCATCATGATCAATAAACATAACCATATGAACATATACACATGTCATATCATATTCAAACATTCATACGTATCATCACAAAGCATACATATGAATCACACCTCACCATACATCATATATCATACATACATGATCTAAAACTTTAACTTTAAACATGTATAAACATCAATTTAAATTAATTGATTATAAATATAATCACGCACAGCGCCGTCAACTCGCGCCTGGCCTAACACCAACCCAAGAGCTCTAAGCTCTTACACGCCTGGCGCGCTCAACCTGCGCCTGGCCTAATCCCAGTCAGAGAGTTTCAAAACTAGTTGAATTAATACTTGTATCACATCCATATGAAAGAAATAACGTTATTAAAAAATTAATGACAAATACTGAAATAATTAAAAAAAATTACTAATATAAAAACTAAAAAGGTCTATCTTAAATTATAAAAACTAAAAAAAATTATATAGATTAAAAAAATATTTAAACCTTAATTAAAATAATCACCATAAACATATATATATATATATATATATATATATATATATAACCACATTTTAACACCATATTTTAGTAGCTGTAATTAACTTATATATAAGTTAAATTTAAATTTTGAAAAAGCTTTTTTTTTTTTTCCTTCTAAAAGTATTTTTAAGTTTATCAAAATATACTTACCGATCCATCTTTACCCACCAACAAAATTTTATACCAACAACTTTCTTAAGGTACGACTTTGCTCTTCATCGATCGAACTAACATTTATTAGTATTTACTAATAATAATCTTACCTAACAAGAATATAATTAATTATTTTTTCCTCGTTTGCGCAAGATTTAAAGACTGGGCCCACTTTTCAAGGGGTGTTTGGTTATTATGGTTATCGAATAGGGAATAGGATACCATTCTATTCTGAACGCTCTTTTGTTTGTTCCAATTCAGATTATTAATTTTGATTTGACTTCATGCAGTGTAAAAGACAACTTCTACTTCTACACCCATCCTTTGTAAATGTAGTTACTACTTACAACCAATCATTTTAGCCTAAAACAAATAGTTTTCTTTTTAGTACAAAATAATTTGCTTTTGTAATGGAGAATCCGATGTGTGATTTATGTAATGCAATTTATTTTGATTTTACTTGACGAGACAAAGTTTTTTGTTGTTGTTGTACAAAATAATTTCATTTTGGTATAAAACTAAATAATGATATACTTTATTTTTTAAAATTTAAATTGGAAATTATGCTAGCCATAAATTTTACTGTTTTAAACAAATTTAATAAGTTTTATTGTGCATAAACATTAATATTTTTCTTATAATATGAAATATATTTAAATTTTCAATCATCTATTCTTCTATTTTATTAAATACAAAAATAGATAATATTATTGGTCAATTATGAATTTATGATTCAGTATTTTAAAGTGGCAGGCTTGTGAGTTGTGACTTTTTATTCTTGTAGGACTTTTAAAATTTTTTACATAAATAAAATTGTTTTGAAATAAGAAATTACATAATATTAATGACATCTGTTATTTTTTTTTAGTCAACAAAAATTATTGTGAACTACAACGAATTTAGTTAGAATCCACATATGTCGTTGTAGGCTACAATTTTTGTTAAATTTTTATTATTATTATTTTTATTTTTAAGGGGATCACTGTGAATTTAATTACAACATCTCCCATTAATTTATTTTTTGGGTTGTTGTGGGCTATGTCCTTCTTCTTTATATTATTTGTAATTTACCCTTTATTCAATACATGCTTATAACAGAAGTTCTGACTATTGATGTTGCTTTTTGTTCACCTTGCACAAACTGAAAGTGAAATCGAGGATAAAGGTTTGATTGATGCTCTTCGACTTCAAGAAAAAGCAACAATTTGTAAGGATTTTTAGCTTAGAAAACAGAGTATCTGAGGCTATGTTTTCCTGATAATATAAAGCAATTCTGTTATTTAGCTTCCACTGTTGACCTCTTTCTAATATATTTGAATTGCCAAAGCCTTAGTTCTTTGAATTATAATTTGGATTTTATTGTGGTAATTGGAAGTTTTAGAGTATCGGCGATTGATCTATTCAGGGTTTAAATATTTTGTTAGTAATGATTAAGATTGAGATTTTGTTTACTGTTACAGCCAATATCACAGCATAAGCACTATATTGTGAAAAATGGAGCACCACTTCTGGTATATCTTGCTTATAACTTTTGTCTTTTTCTAAAATGTTAATTCCTAATTTTTTATTTCAAATTATTTGAACTTTTTTAAAATGAGTTTTTCATGTTTTTCTGCTATATTTGTCTCATAATAAATATAAAATGCAGTAATTGTTTAAATGAGTTACCCACAAATCCTGCTGCACTACTGGAGCAAACTACTTTCTGCACAATCGAAGGTTTTATTCTCACGACATGTCTAAGGATCTTCCAGCTTCTTGAGCTTTCAAATATTTTCATTATCATTCAATGTTTTCTATTTGGTTAATGTTACTATAAATGTACACTCAAACACTTTTCAAATACTCCACTGCAAATCATTGCATAATATTTTAGGCCTCACTACAACTTTTCTGAAGGTATTGTTGGATAATCTTAAATTTCTAGAGATATCCGAGATATTCGTTAAAGACTCAAAACTATTCGGCCATTACAAAAGAAAAATAATATATAGGATTTGGTTGGCTTATGGTGCAAGCTAGACTAACCATGGTTAAGTATAATTATGATTACATATATTATACTTAAGCTAACCAAGCTAACCAATCGTAGTTAAGTATTTAGAAACTTATAGTGTAAGATAAGTTAATCCTAGTTTAGAAATAACCTAGGTTAGCTTAAGTTAACTCTAACTACCTAATTTAATCATTATAACTAACAAACTAATGATTACTTTTAACAAGTTTCTTAAGATGTCACTATCAAAGTCATGCGACTTATTTAACAACTTGAATGGCTTAATTGGCTAGTTTTGGACGTCCAAACCACTTGCATAATCTAGTAGAAATCCAAACCTATGGACCATGAAAAAGTTTGGGCCATCCAAGCCCAAATAAGTTTATGACTTTAGTTAGTTACACCTTTGTGGAGAAAAGATAAACACTAGAAAGAGGGGTTGAATAGTATGAATCAAAAACTCACATTTTCAAGTGTGTGAAGTAGTATCTACAATAAACAAAGGGTCATTAAAAGTAATCAATGAACACATAATATTTTTATATTGGTTCACCTCAACCATCGATGCTTTGTTCAGTTCTCAATCCAACTAGATTGAGTCTTCAAGTCCCCATCCAAGTATTCTTTTATAGACAAGTCTCTCTAGGCTTAACCTAAGTATTTATTTATAGTCGACCCTCTCCCAACTCAAACCCAAGTATTCTTTTACAATGAAGTCTTTCTAAACTCAAATCCAAATATTCTTTTACAGTCAAACCTTTATAGGCTCTACCTTATAACAATGGTTGTAAAGGTAATACAAGGTTGCAATTGTCGTCTCTTTTATATGTGATTAAAAAAATCATTTTAGTATATAAGAAAGCTCTTGAAGAAGATATTCTAAGAGATGTGTATTGTATCTTAGAGTTTTTCTATATTTACACTGCTATTCTTTATTATGTTTCTTCTTTACTTGAGTTCTAGGGCTTCTTATACTGTAGATTTGAAAAAGATAATTGTTGTAACTTCTTAAGTTTGATTTATAGAATTGCTTTGTCTTACTCCTTCATTTGATCTTTAGAGAGAGGAGGTATTCGTTGGTGCATTAAATGCTTTATTTAATGCCTTTCACTTAAATTTACTCCTTATCTTTGATAGATCAAGCTACTTATCAAAGCAAAATAGTAAAGTGAGAACAATAGGAAGCAAAGTCAACGTGTAGGCAAGAGTGCAATCCTTCTTCAATGCTTTTTCCATAAAATATGAAATATTTGTCCTTTTTTCAACTACTCTTCATGCTTTTGTACACTTTTAACAGAATGTGAGTTTCAAGACAACAACTTTCGATCTGTTAAGGTATAAAACATTCATTTGAAAATATTTAAAATCATTAGTCATAATAAATAATGATCGTTAGGTACAATTTGTATGTTTCATCTTACAAATGTTACTTCGTCTTACACAGTTTGAAACAACGACTTTTACAATGCATTTCCTTACTAAAAAATAGAGTGTTTGTTATCATTAAAACAGAAAAAATGAGGGGTCTAAAATCATCTTTTGACTTAATAACTTCCCCTAAACTATTAATTACACCTTAAAGAAAAATTATACAAAAACAAAAAATTTTATACTACTTGACCAATAAAAGGTCAAAAATAAACCTAGACAATATATAAAATAGAAGACTAAGCATCTAGAAGAACACATATTTTATGCTCATGAAGCACATCCTCTCTAGTAGCTTCCTCTAACCACCTAACCATGGACCTTGTCAAACTTCCTATGGTCTTCAAGGATGATCCTCCATCAAAATCATTAAGAGATTATCTAATCACATGTTAACACCTTGATCATAGTCACTAAGAGATCAACATCACTAAGAATTTTAATCATTAGCTTAACTACTCTAGTAGCCTTATCAATATCACACATTAAGTCCTTAGACATCGCTATCATTAAAACACTTTAAGTCGTTAACAATCAACTTACATCATAACTTATTAAAGATTGGTTTCTCCATTGATTTATCTTTCCTAGATATTGATATAGGTATCTCAAACCATTCGTAAGATTAAACACTTAAAGAGTAAAATTATTCATCATCACCATTTACAAATTACATTTTCATAACTTAATCTTCTAAGACATCGGGAGATCTGGACACCTTATTTAAAGTTATATACATGTTATCAAATTGATCTTAATTTTCTTAGAAAGCTAAGAGAATTATCTCCAACTTCTATGCATACTTCAAGAACTAATTATGCCATATACTATTTTTAAAAAATACAAAACTGCAATGTTTCAGCCTAAATCTAACAATCTAACCTTTGTTCACTAATTTAATTATAACTTGAGTTCTAGACCTCATTTTTAAGTAATTACAATGACATTTGAAAGCTAACATCTAAGGCTACAATCCTTATGAAGATCACAAAACTTGATCCTAATAGTATCATGCTTGAAGCAATGTTTATTGTGCCTAGTGTTGAAAAGACATTATCCTCTTGGGAGTACTTGTGTCCGACGTGACTGAGGCCACACTTGGCTTGAAAACTTGCAGACGTCAAATGGAACCTGATGCGGCTTATTTGATGCCCAACATGATATCAGTTTGTGAAAGACTTACAAGATATGCAAAAATCGCACATTATGAACCTTAAACTCTAAAACTACAATCCAATCGGTAAAAATCATGATTAAAGCTTAATACTACTCTATTGTATCATCAATTACTCAAATCTAACATCAATTTCACCTTCTAATCACATATCCCTATTAAGTACTCAAACAATAACCATTTAGGGTGCCCAGGGAAATCCACAGGCAATCTAAACTTCACAAGTATAGGTTCAATCACTTACAAAAGAAAAATAATATATAGGATTTGGTTGGCTTATGGTGCAAGCTAGACTAACCATGGTTAAGTATAATTATGATTACATATATTATACTTAAGCTAACCAAGCTAACCAATCGTAGTTAAGTATGAGGTTCTGAAATACCTCCCACAGCATGTGTAAATATTTCTTTTTCTTTGAATTATTTTTTTGTGATTGTCGGTGTTAAAGATCTGATTTGATTTATTGTATATTGGGGAAACTTGAAAACTGTTGTATAACTGATTTTTAGGGATTTCTTATTTGATTGTATCCTTATTCCTTAATTATTCATTCTCTGATTAGAAATAAATCAGCATGTGTTTGGGATTATCGCACACTTTTTTATGTAAATCCTATAGTCAGAAACTTCCTTGTCTGCAAAATGTATGTTATGAATTATAATGATAGTTTGGGTAAATAATAAATTTGAAGTCTGAACACAGTCTCAGATTCATGCATTTGCTAAAATGAAGTATATTTTCAAGTATCAAATGCTGAATATTCCATGATGTATGAATGACCTATGGAGTCTATGACTATTTACTGACATTATTAGCAATGGTCCAATCTCGTTGCTTTTGATATAACAATAAGCTAAGAAATATGACTTGTTTTGTCTATTTGAATATGATTATTGGCTGTGTTCTTGATAGGCAAGAAAGTCAACCACAACCAGAACCACAGGAGTCTACTACAAAAGGAAAAAAACCCATTGACTGTAATTAGAATTTCTGTTAACAGGTTGTAAGAGGTAGTTAGCAGTCAGTTAGAGAAAAGTCTATAAATAAAACCTTTAGAGTGTGATAGGCATTAATGTATAGTTTTGATAGTATTGAAAGGGCTATTTTCCCTGTGTGCAGGAAGAGTGCTCCTTTGTACATTACTGAAACATTCTTTCATCATAAAGAAGGGGAACCATTCTTTTTCTTTTGTTCTCCCTCTATCATATTTTCCCATTCATAACCGATCTTTTTCTACTTCTGGCTCACTTTTATATATTGCTCTAACTCTAAGCTCTTGCTAATCAGCATGTGCTATTATGAGCTCATCCCATCTTGTGAATTATTTTCTGTTCACATTTATTTGCTGTGGGGAAAACACCCTCTAAAGAGCCATGGCCTATTTTTGTGCAAGTTAACTTGTACAAGTTTTTGCTAAAATTATGAACAATTAACCCTTTGAGATACTTGTTACCTTATTGTTTTGCATGTCCTATTAAATTTATTAAAAGGTTGATCACTCTGTTTTGCACAAATTTGTATGTCTTTTTTCTTTTTTTTAATGTCAAGGTTTATACTTGTAAAAATTACTTGCCCATGAAATAGATCTTCTAGTAAGAATATCCAACATGGGAATCTGGTATTAGATGCACTCAAGGAAATTGATGCCAAACTTCAAAACCATAAAAATAAGTTCTTGATATAATTTGGATTAATGTACGATTTACATGGAAGGCAAATCAGAGTTTTCTTTTTTCTTCTTTTCATGCTGTCTGTTTCTTTTTTTTTTTTTTTTTTCCTTTTTTTAAGTTCTGTTGGTAGTATTTATTACCTCTTCTAAATGTAGTTAATTAAATCTTCATTCATCCAGCTTTAATAGAATAACTTGCCCACTTAACTTTCTAAATTTGCTGATACAGGTCACTTTTAAACCATTTATGTGGAAAAGAAGTGACCACACTTGTGTGTGATGAAAATTCTGAGGAAAGGTTCAATAAACCTTAATTGATAGCATCCAATTTTCATTGCTCTTTGTCTATTTTATATTTTACTATATCATAAAAAGTAATATCCTTAGCCTTTGATCGACTTTCTTTCTTGCATTGTTGGCAGGTTCTTTGAATGTCATTTTGGGAAAGAGATATATGTCACCGAACAATAGTGTCACTTGTTGGATGTTTTTCTGTCTGTGACTATCATGTTATATGCTTGCAGTCTACGGTACATACATCTTCAAGCATAATATTTATTATTTAGATCGGAGTGTTTTATGCCTTATTCTAACAAAACTATTTGAAGGTTGTGAATTATCTGATTGATCCTTTTGTTGGAAATACTAGTGCAGCGGATCCCGAATCTCTTTCTGTGAGTTAATTCCCGGAATTTAGTTTATTTCTAAAATATTTCATATTTTGTCCTATTAAATTTGATTTTCTTAGATTAATTAATCATATAATATAGTTAGTTATGATCCAAGTATGATTTAAAAAGAATATTTTATCTTGTGATCATAGTAGCTTCTCTATCAAGCTTTTCATTTCTATAATTTGGGAAGCTTTTCATTTCTATAATCTGGAACACTAATACTGGTCGATCATGACATCTTAAAAATATAAATTAGAAATTTGGGAAACAGATCTCCAGCTAGGCAAAGAACTAACAAGTTACTATTTAATTCTTTTTTAAATTTGTAATAATTTCATTAAGAATTCTCAAACCATACATCTTCATTTCAGCCACGCACATAATTTTCATCTCCGTGAGTAATATTTTAGATATGCCATTTTACTGTATTGTCTTTCTTGCATGAAGAAAAGGAGTTCCTAAAAGACTAGAAATAACATGATATGACATCAGAAGACCCAAAGCCCAATAAGAGTGTTTAGTAGTTCAGAACGGGCCGTTCCCAACCCGGAACGGGCCGTTCCCAACTATTAAAAAGCCTATAAATCATAGTTTGAAAAGGGCCGTTTCAATGTAATTTTTTATGAGTAAATTTCAAATTCAGTACGGGCCGTTCCAATACTGGAACGACCCGTTTCAAATTCAAATATAACACATAACATATTGGTCTATAACGGGTGTTCCGATGCAGTTTGTTATGAGTGAAACTCAAAATCAGAACGGGCCGTTCTGCATTCGGAACAGCCTGTTTAAGTTTCAAATTTAACACATGGTAGAATCAATCAGAATGGGCCATTCCGATTTCAGAACGGTCCGTTCTGACCTTTCCTGATGTCTATAAATAGGAGATTCGTCATTGCTTCAGGGTTAAAAAAATTACTTCAAAATAGGATTTAGCTCGAAAATTTTCTCTCTTCCCCCTATTGTATTTCTTAATATCTTGTGAGATACATTATAGTGTGCTGGGTTGTCAAAAGGCACCTAAGAGTTCTCTTAAAGCTCATTATAGAGGTATTTCAATTAATTTTCTATTCTTTCCTTTATTTCCTTATTTTAAGTATGTAAATAAATATTATTAAAAAGGATTCAATATTTTATTTATTAATTCTTATCACTTTAACTTCATCATAAGGTACCATTGAGGTCATTGTAGGGATGCTTAATATCTTTCCTACATGTAATCGACTTGAACCGTGGTGGCCTAACTCCAACGAGCGACTCGGGCAACATAGCGAAACTTCAAATTGAACAGGTTTTTTTTCTTCAGTTTTAATCCTCCTCCTCTTCCTTTTATTTTTTCAGTTTTAATCTTTTTTTATTTTTATTATTTTTTTATAGTTTTAGTCTTCTTCCTCTTTTTATTTTTTTCAATTTTAATTCTCCTCTTTTTTTCATGTTTTAATCCTCTTTATTCTTTTAGTTTTTCCTACTCCTTTGTATTCTTTCTTAATGAATTCATTGTTGTATCTATAGCAACAAATTTTTTAATATTGATTTTTCTATCAATTGGGTCAATTTAAATTCCTATTTTGTTCTAAATTTTAAACTAATATTGAGTGTCTATTTTATGAAACTAATATTGATATTATGTTGCTTGTTATTTATTTTGTTTATTTTGTTTATTCATTGTTGTCGGGAGTAAGATTACCAAGGCTTACTTCGTTTAATAATTCATGTTCTACATCAAATTTTAATGATCCAACCGTTCAATTTAAAATTCTTAATGCATAGATCAAATTTGCAAATTTTTAGAAAATTTGAAAAATCATTTGATACTTCATTTCATTAATTTAAATTGACGGATAATCATAAAATTATTTTATACATTGATTCAAATTAATGAAACGAAGTATGAAATGATTTTCAAATTTTTAAAAATTTGCAGATTTGATTTATACATTAAGAACTTTAAATTGCACGGTTGAACGGAGTAAGTCTAGGTAGACTTATTCTTGGAATAAAAGGATCCCTCTTTTATATATATATATATATATATATAGTTAACCACTAATACACTGCTAATGTAAAGTTTTTTTACACTGGAAGTCAATTAGAGCCGTTAATAGTATTTTTTTTTATATTTTAATTT